CTCAGGGGGATCCGCTTGCCTCAGCCTCCCCAGAGCTGAGACCGGAGGTATGCACCAATACGCCTGGCTAAAATCAGACTTTTTAATCTGTTTGAATAGAAAAACACATCCTGTACATTCTTAATTAAAACACAATAAAATGCCCAGTTGTGGTAACGAAGTCGTTTTGTTTGTTTTAAAATCAAAGTAAACGGAACAGTGCATTCTGACGAGCATGGAAGGAAATGATCGTTTTCACACCCTGTTAACGGTGCTGCCTTTCTGAGCACAATTTATGTCAGAACCCTTGGATTCTTCAATACTGTCTGGTCAAATCATACAAGTTAAACACTGTTATTCCACTTTAAAGATGAAGACACTGGAATTAAAAAAAAAAAAACAACTAACTACCTTTCCAAAGTCATATAAACTGATGGCAGAATCTGGATTTAAATCCAGGGCTATAGCTATCTAACCCAAAACGGAACTTCTATGCTACAAACTTAATCCAGCTGGGTGAGGTGGTTCTTATCTATAAATCCAGCTACTCAGAAGGCTGAGACAGGAAGACTGGCTTCGAGGGCAGCCTGAGTAACATACCAAGAACTTGTCTCAAAAAACAAAACAAACAACACCTTAATCCAGTGAGACTTGCTCTTGAAGGCATTGCTCGAACAGACTAACATGCAGCATTTTACCACTATGGAAAAATACTTTCAAATTTACAAACAGCAAAAGTAATTTTAAAACAGTATTATTTAAAAATATATGAAATAGGTGTATGTGACATACATAGAGAGGCACACCAAAAGATGCTGGTAAGAGCACGTGAAAAACTTTCATTTTCTCTCTTTCCTAAAATTTCTACCTGTGTATTATAAACTATCTCTTTAAAGAGCATTAAATTTGTTCTCAAACAATAAACAATAAATTTTAAGACAAAACCTACTCTTAAAAAGATATATGAAAATGAAAGATGCAGTGTCAATTTAAAAATTGTTACTATAATTCTGTAGTCTTGATTTCTCTTTAAGCCTAACCACTACAATTCCTTAAGGCTGTGTATGCTGCAATTGTACAGCAAAAGGAAAGGGGAACAGCAAACTGCAGAGCCAAAGACCCCTGGAGCTACCACTGAGCGGCTCCTTTCTCTAGGATACTCTCATTACTTTACATCCCAACCCTCTCATTCTGCAGTGAATTCTGTATGGTCCAAATGAACTCTGCAGTCAGTTAAAAAAAATACCAAGAACTCATGTTTATTTATTGATAAAAGATACGGAAGGGAAAAACAGACCTACTAGCTTTCCCATGTTGATCTTCATTAGTAAAACTACTCAACATGTTTGTTCAGTCTGCTGCTTCTTTCCATGGGTCTTTCAAGGTGTTGTTTTAACACCAGTGGAACTTGCTGATGGTGTGAATGAATGAGGAAGAGCCGGCGTCTGCAGATACCAAACTCCAGCTCCGTCCCAGCAGAGAAGGTTCTTGTTAGATTTGTTGAAAAGCTCTCAAAGGAAGGAAGGAATATTAGTGAGAATTTCCCTCAGATAAAATGTTTCAGTTTAAAGAAATCCTGCTAAACTATGTCCCCCTCAAATAAATATATGATAGGTCGGTCTTTCTGATTAAAGATTGGTTCAATTCTAGTTGACCCAATGGCTGGGAGTTGTTCTATTACCTATGTTAGTCAGCTCTGTGTTACTATAATTAAATACTGGAGGCAGGCTACTTTATTTTTTTAAAAAAGAAAAGAGGAGCCAGGCATGCTGGCACATGCCTGCAATCACTCAGGAGGGTGAGACAGCAGGAGGATCATCATGAGTTTGAGGCCAGCCCAAACTACAAAACGAGACCCTGTCTCAAAAAACAAAACAACAAAAGGGAGGTTTTTTTAGGCTCATGCTTCTGAAGGTGCAAAGTCTAGAGACCTCGTCTGGTGACGGTCTTCTGGAAGGCAGAATCGCAGTCTCACAAAGCACCACACGGCAAGATACAGGATTGTGCGTGCTTGTTTGATGTGTCTTTTTCTCCATATAATGCTGCCAGGATGAAATCACTGGGGCTCTACCCTAACGACTTTAATCCCAATCACACCCCAACAGCCCCATCTAAGCACCACAGCCAGTCAACAGGCTTGGTTATCAAGCCTATTTCCACGCTCATAATGCTTTACAGTGGGGCTGAATTCAAGATAGGGAAGCCCGAGGGGACATTCAGACGATCTCCAAAGTACAGCACCCTTGTATATCCTTACACAAATTAAACTAGTAAGTATATAAATTCTACTTAAATTTTCACTGCACTTCTAATTAGATACATCACAATTTTGAAGATAATAAAATAATCATGAGGAAGATTAAAATCACCCATAGTCCCATCAGTCAGGAAAAAACTCTTATTATTAATAGTAAAACTTGGTAATCAGTTAGAAAGGATACAGGAAGCAGACAAGAACACTTAAGTAGAAATAAACTTAACAAAAAGAAAAGCTTTTTGAATTTGTTTTGAAATGAGGAAAATAAAGACTACCCATCAATTAACAGGTCGCCCACATCCCTGTCCTTCGTGGAAATTCTACAAAGTACAGTCAGTGACTGAGACTGTGGGAGCTGGTTCTCCTCACTAAGCCGCAGGTTGTCTCACACCGGTGGTTGTCACTCTATAGAAGAGAACCATTTTAGCAATCAGACATATACAATAAAGGTCCTAATCACTAAACTACACGAAATGCTTCATGAATGAATGATTTGGCACAGTGTCATCAAAATCCATTACTTGTTACTTCTACTGAATTTCAGATTTCATTTCTTTGACTTCCAAGAAAGTATTCTCTTGTGGAATTTACATTTGGTAAACATTTTCTGCTATCCATTTCTAATGGAGAAGTTCATACAACCACAGTAAAGTACATCTATGGTGGCTACAAAACGACACACTGAGAAGTCACCTGGACAACGCCAAAAAACCCATCCAAAGGACTTGAGGAGAGGAAATTATTTTACTGATAAAATCTATTTGCTGTAAAAGTGTATTGCTTCTTGAACTAAAGACTCATGTGACTCAGCCTCTTCTCTGTGGACCAGTGCCTCTGAGAAATGCTTTATGGTATACTCTTCTTGAGTTTATTATATACATTAGCATATTAATATGTAATCATTTATATATAATATATAGTCAGGAAGAAAGAAAACAATTCACCTTTGTTTCACACAGTGTTTCCCAAACTTCTCCGACCATAAATTATTTGATGGCATAACACCTGCTAAAGACTAAAGGAATTCAGGATCTGAATTTTATGAATGCCACCTTAATTAATGCATCACTGCCTATGATTTTCAGCTATATTAGTAACCCAGAGATAACAGGCTCAACAAGATTCAGTCCTTTACCTAAACTTACACCCACTAAAGTTGACCAATTTATAGTGACAAATATATATACATTGTACAATCAGAATGTGTGAATAAAGTTTATAATATATAAATGGTATCTCAATTAAAAGGCTCATTTTTGGTATTTTATTTACTTTTTAAAAGAAGTGTACTTCTAAATGAAAGTCAAAATGGATAAAAGATCTAAATATTAAAACAGAAACACTGCATCTCCTGGAAGAGAAAGTAGGCAGAAATCTTGAAGACATAGGGGTAGGCAGAGAGTTCTTGAACAAAACAAACTGCACAGGAAATACTTCAAAGAATCAACAACTGGGATCTCATCTTATTGCAAAGTTTTTGCACATCAAAAGAAATCACCAACAGAGAAAAAGAAAACCCAAAAACTGGGAAAAATTTTTAGCCAACTGTCACTCAGACAAAGGATTTCTATCTAGAACATTAAAGAATTTTAAAAAGTCAGACCCCTAAAATTCAAAGACCCAATCTAAAAAGGGGCATCTGAGCTGAATATACACTTCTCAGATGAAGAAATATAAATGACAAATAAATATATGAAAAAATGTTCAACATCATTGGTCATTTGAGAAATGCAAATTAAAACAACAATGAGATTCCATTTCACCCCTGAAAAAATGGTTATCATCAAAAAATCAACCAATAACAGATGCTGGTGGGACTATAGTGGAAAAGGAGCCCTTCTCCACTGTTGGTGCGACATTCTTCAAAAAACTAGGATTAGAGGTTCCATTTGATCAAACTATTCCCCTTCTGGGTATTTTCCCAGATGAATTAAAAACATCATACCACAGCAATATATGTGCACCCATGTTTATAGCAGCACAATTTGTCATAGCTAAATCTTGGAAACAACCCAAATGCCCATCAACTGAAGAACAGATAAAAAAAGATGTGGTATTTTTATACCAAGAAGTATTATTCAGCTATAAAGAAAGATAAATTGGAGGCTTTTATGGATGCAACTATGGTTACTCGTAAGTGAAATAAATATGGTTTATTATTTCACTTAACCAAATATGGTATATTTGGTTACTCATAAGTGAAATAAATCAGACTCACATGTGTAAACACTGTATTGTCTCCCTAGTGTAAGAACCTGAAAGAGTAAAAAAGATCCAAAAGATACAACATATACAGTGAAAGGAAAAGAAACTGCTCAAAAGGAAAGAACAACTGGGATGGTGCTAAGGAGAAAAGAAGGAAAATACACACACAACACACACACACGATAGCTACGAAAATTATACTACCAATTTCTACTAATTCATTGAAAGGAACAGTTAGTGTGCTTATATTGTTTGATCAATTTTGCATGCCTATATCTGATCTGAGCAACTACTTTGAAGGTAACAATATGTACTATAATAATCGTTGTTAATTTCCTATCATCTTGTTTTGAAAATCTGTATTTTTTTTTTTAATGGCCTTAAAAAAAAAAAAAAAGAAATGTGCTTGTGCCTCAGGCATACTGAGAGTTACCTGGTGAACATATTATCAGAACAAAAGGAGGGTGGGTTTAAACCACTGACCAGCCCAATTATTTAAATACAAGATGATAAAAATAGCTTTTCATTAATTTACATAATACAACAGAAAACATAAAAATGACAATTTTATCAAGTTTATTCCATACAAGAAGCAACCGGTTGAAATGACACCTGCCCCAGTGACACTTGGGATAGTCAGTACGTAAACAAATTCACTGCCCAAGTGTCACTCGGGGTAAACTGATAAGTGGTTAAAGAATGCTTCATGCTGGTCAAAGTGACTCATTCCTGTCCCAGAAGACAGGATGTCTGTCATTACCCTGTCTCCCAGATTCTGCGCCTCTCCCCAAAGGGTGCTGTTTGAATATGATACGATTCCGCCTTGTTTAGCCTTTCTTTTCAAAATACTGGCGAATGCATCTTCTTGGTCCTCCTATAATACAAGAATCAAACGCAATCTCCAGGGCAGAAATGAACAGCACTCACCACACCCTGAAAGAGCTCACCACATGTGCAATATTTCAGTTAAATGTCATCTTTTTCTTGGCATATGTATTTGAGAAAATTTTTTACAAATATAAAGACTAGAGGCTTTCATCTAGATCTTCAGGCTAATACATACAGAACATGGTGTACCTTTGCTTTTGACTTTATATGCTAAATAATATACATTTAATATTCCCTTCTGAGAAGGTTCAGTGCTAAAATCTCCCTTCTACCTTACTTGTCCTATAAAGAAAAGCCAAGAAGACTGATGTAAGTAACTAAATCGGATATTCCATGTATCTCTCCTAGGTCAAACATGAAAAAATGACCTTACCTGGTGCTACAGTCGAATTACACAGCTGGGTGAACCTCAATGGTCATTATTTTAAGCCCTTGGCTCTCTAAGATACTTTTATCACCCACAGAACAAATACAAGTACCACACAAAAAGAGATGCCATGTTTTTGTACGAAAACTCTTTACTGAACTATTAAACTATTTAAAATACCATTCTTGGAAGAAGCCACAAAAATTATAGCATTCAGAAATTTTACATACAACTCTTAAAAGGTAAGGTATTTTAATTTTTCTGTCATCTTAGCACCAAGAAGATAACGTCTATAGAAACTATCAGTCGATTCAGACTCCGTTCCTGCTGGTGTTGCGAAGAGCATCCACGATGGTTTTATTGTATTCCACAATCTGCTTGTTCACATTCTTAATGATTTGCTGGTAGTCACTTTCCTGACTCTTGGCTGCTATGACTGTTATATGAGTTAAGGGGGAACACTGTCGATGAAAATATTATTCTAATGTGGCTCAGGAAGGAATGAAATCATACTGGTATTTTCTAATGGATATAAGGTAGTACAGAAAAAGCACAGGTAGAATATTTTTAAAATACAGTATATTATTTTATTATTATTTAAACATAAATTAAGATGAGTGTTGAATTATATTTCATTTGAGTCTTTATAAACTTTCCCAGAAAATAATGCAGACTCTCACCCACTGTACAGGTATGCAGCTGGCTGTGTTTTAAGTAAATAGGATTATTGTAAGTGATCTCTGTGAATGCCAAAGCCTTGGCTTCCAGTCTTTGTATGGTAAAATGGGAGAAGAAATGTGACAATCCTAGATTATCAGACACAAACCCAAAGCCTCACATTTGATGCATTTTGTTTTAAAAACAGACCTTATTTTTCAGCTTCATTTGCAGGTCTTTGTAAAGATTGATAAATCAGTTTTTACTTGTTCTATCAATAAAACATAACTTGGACATCTTGAACTGATGGTTTTGTGATTTAGCTGGATAAACTATCTTTGTCACAGATAAGCTATTTATACAAATTTTAAAACATATATTCTAAAACCAATTCCTAGAAAAAAATAAGTCAAATTCATATCAGCATCTTAAAGGATACATTCTTTCATCACAAAATTATTTTGCTCATGGTGTTGCCACTTTCTCTCCAAATTTGTAAGCTAAAAACATAAAAGAAGAAAGTTAACTGTTGCTCTTATTTGAAACAATTCTATACTCTTGCAAGAGGATAAGGAAAAAATACCATTTAAAATCTTATCAGCTCCTTGAATTTCATTAAGATAAAGCTGTAAAAGATAAAAAACTTAGAAAAAATTAAACAATAACAAATACATTAATATAATGTCTAATCCTGTAGCAGGTTTTATTCTAAATTATTTTAATTAGAAAATACTTAAATGTTTATTGTAACAATAAACATGCCAACTAAATGATAATTTATGATTTTCCTTTTCCTAAGAGAACCTAAAAAAGAAAAATGGGACATGCTGGGTATCTCTCCTTGAAATCTGGAAATCTAATGCGACAAAAGTAATATATATTCTAACACTGTCAAAGGTTTGGCTATATAGGAAAAACTTCCTTATTTCCAGGGCTAAATTTCCTGTCTCATTTCACAAGCTGTGATAAGAGCAGAGCTGCAGTGTGAAGATTATAAGAGGGTTTGTAAAAAGCTGGCACTGTTACAATAATTTCTGCATCAACAGGAAACTAATGTGGATATTATACTGATGGTTGCTTCCTCAGAAGACAATTTTACTGTTATAGAATTAAACTGTTTTTCTGATTTAATTAACCTGTAACTCTGGGTTATGGTCTTTCTTTTTTAAGATGCACATAGTTTTTCCTAAGCAAAGGACTGTCTGAAAAATGAAACCCTAAGATAATGTTCTACCTAGATATTTCAAAGAAGTAATGACATTTTTAAAAATAGGGTAACTGAAGCAACACAATAAAAATTCTTTTTACTCTCACATTAAAATCATTTTCAGGGCCTAAATTTAATCTTGATGTAGCAGCCATCCTATTGTTTCCTCCAAAGAGATAAATCTAGATATTACAGTGAATCATAGTTAACTTACTGTGTGAACTATATATGATATGAGGTAACACTATTAAATGCTCTCGCTCTCTCTCTCTCTTTCTCTCTCTCTCTCCACCAAACAAGACCTTGAAGTTAAGATGGTATTAAGGAAACAGTCAGCACTTTTGGCAATAAATCATTAATAATCTTTTGCAAAGTCAAGTCAGACTTTTTTCTCTTTGTTTTATACAAAGAGGTGGCCTTCTTATAATGCAAAAGACCTCTAAAGTGCTATACAAATAATGATATAAAAGTAACACCAGGTCAAATGGTCAAATTCCTTTTATATTTCTACGTGACTGATTTGCATTTAAACCCCCAAAGACATCATGAACACAAGCCTAGTTTTAAAAATTTGATTTTCTCTGTAACTTATTTAAATAATCTGTTATATAAAATTATTTATAGATGCCAAAACCCAGTTTTAGGGAAATAGTTGTAAAAGATCAGAAGACAGGATTTGATTTGATCAGTTGAGATTTACAAGACATTAAATAATAGAGAGGACTTAAAATTGTGGCTCATGGTGGTATGGTTTCTGGTTTTCAATAAATAAAGCTAAGATGTGACTAGCACTTCATATGGGAATAAATAACGTAGCCACCTTTTGGCTCTCAGGGAATAGCATTTTTCAAGCGTTCTCCACCTTAAATCATCTATTCAGTGGAAGAGGAGAGCTCGTAGCCCACAAAATATACTCTGTTGTCTAAGAACCATATTTATTTTTTACTTTAAAGAGAATAAAATATTTTTAAGAAACATTAAAAACGATACAGAATTTCAAAACAAGATGATAGGAAATCAACAATGGTTATTATATTGCATATTGTTATCTTCAAAGCAGTTGTTCAGATTACCAGGTATAGGCATGCAAAATTGTTAAAAAAAATTAAGTGATCTCACAGAATTTATCCAAGTGTTTCTCCTCAGGAGTCATCCCATTCAAAGCAAAGATAATTTTGCCACTTATAAGAGTATATCTAGGTTTGTGTCTGATGAAGGAAAGAGAATAACTGACAGGTAATCAGTGATTTCTAAGCTTTTGATAGCTGTGGCAAACTCTCATGAGAGTACATTCCCTTCAAGAAGACTGTAAGGGATACCTTTTTTTCAGATGGTATAGCCATGCAATGAAATAGCTGTTACCATTAAAATGTTATTTAAAAAAAAGACTGAAACTTATTAAGTAAATGTTCAAAGACTGTAGGTATAGAATCATCTACTTTTTGTAAAAACAATGTAATCAATATGAATGTATGAAAAGAAAGAAAAAGTCTGCAAGGATGAAAGGTCAAAATGTTAAAATGATTGTCTCTGGTTAGCGGGTAATCAGGTGACTTTTTTGCCATATATTACGAGATAAATAAAAGGAGGAAAATTTTTAATGTGTTTAGTATTTTAATCATGTGCAAACTGATACTATAGATCAATTAGATATGCCAGTGACCTCTTTCTGACCACAATTACGGATTTTGAATATGATACATAATGCTTCATTCAATCATTCAAAAATACTTACAGAGGGCCTACTATGTGCAAACTAATAATGCAGTGCTGAGGTAAAGTGAGTAAGAGACCTTGTCTCTGTCCCCTCAAAGTTCACAACCTGGAAGATCTCAAACACTGTTCATGTACTTATCAATAAGATAAGTGACATGAAAGCAGACTGTAGTTACCTGTCTCTGTCTCCTAGGCAAACAACTGGAGGTGTGAACCAAGAAGGTCAAGGATATGACTGCTCTTCATAGCATTATCCAAACTGTTCTGCTTTATTGGTGGTATAGAGACCAAATCCAGGGGTACTCCACACTAGCTACATCTCCAGCTCTCTTATCTTTTATTTTAAGAGACGGTCTCACTAAGTTGCCAAGCACAAACTTATGATTCTGACTCCGCCATCCTCAGTGCTGGAGTTATAGGCACACAGTTTTACCACTTGAAATTAGGTAAGTGTCCAACAACCGATATTGTTTCAATAAATTATGCTCTATCTACATAGTGTAATATTTATACCTATTAAGATTCATACTTTTAAAAACTTCTCTTGACAAGACAAAGAACTTACAACATACAGTTAAAAGCAAAAAACAAACTCCCAAATAATTTGTACAGCATGATATAATATCTGTAAATATACGAAAGTAAAAACATATTTATGTATACGTACATACATACTAAAATGATAACAAGAATTCCTTCTTGTTGCATGGGGGATATTAGTCACTGGGACTTATTTATAGTTTTTAAGGGGTTTTCAAAATTTCTGCATCTGGAATTAGAAGTTTATGCTTTACTTCTGAAATCTTTTCAAGCTATTACCCAGTATATCGAAGTGGCTGCGTTAACAACAGTGCCTAGCAGGGCCAGAACTGGCCTTCACGGTTTACTACAGACAAGGAAGGAAAAGAAGTGAATCCATCCTGAGGGAAGACGGCGCAGAATCTGGCTGCTCTGGAAGACAGAATAAGCCGGGGGCTTAATGCAGGAAATAAGTAAATAAACAGTTGTTTAGGGGTAAAAAGACAGATTACAGGAACAAGACAGATATTCTAAAAGAATAACTTAATTCTAAAGTCATTTTAAAAACATCGTTACCTGAGAATGTGTCTCGTTTTCTTGTAACTGTGTTTTCAGTGTCTCATATTCGCTATTTAGCTTCTCTGTTATTTTCTTAAAGGCATTCTTTCGGGTTGATAATACCGTTCTCTCCTGATGCAATTTCTAGATAGATCCAAACAGAACTAAATAACAGGCTACAGCAAGTTGTAGTAAGCCAATACAAATCACATTTGGGTTAAATAATTTTAGTGATTGTATTCTGATAAAATTCTACCACAGAATTCTCTAATTCTCTAAGACGTTTGTAAAAGTATTCTTTGAAGTGCATTAAAAGCTATGCAGATATTAACTGTATTAATAATGACACTTCCATGTCTGTCCCTATCCCACAAAGTTTAAATTCACGCAAAAGGCAATTAAAAGACACAAGATTTCAATAGAAAAATATGTCAAATCTACATTTCATAAAGTTCATATTTGTTAAGATACTCTGTATTAAGTAGTAGCTTATATCCTATTTTTCAATTTTTGCCTTTTGTTTAATAACTTCAAGTCACTATAAATTCCAACTACATATGTAAAATAATTGTATTATGTGTAATAATAATTATAAAATTGTATTACATGTATTATAATACAATTAAAATTGTAAGTATTATGGACTACATATCAATTAAAACTAATCAATAAAAAACAATTGAATTTTAACTTTGTAGGACTCTGTTGGCATTTACCTTTCTCTTTTCTTCACCTGATAATTTTAAAGCTGGCAAATCATTGTATGTCTCCAGATCAGCTGTCATTTGCTTAATTTTGCTTTTCAGAGAATGTTGTTCCTCGACCATTTTACTTTCCAGGAGCTCCATTTTCTGTAGATCTAACTGTAGACGTTGACTGTCTGAAAAATAGGAATTTGAGACCATAATTAATCAAAATTTTATTTCTTTCACATAAGAAAATATAATTAAAAATCATGTTTTACAAAAGTATCTGTAAAAAAATGTTAACTGTGACCAATGAGACACTACAAAGATAAATTAAGAAAAGAAAGCTTATCTTCTTATTAATGAATTTAACCTGATATATGTTAGCCACACCTGTCTTCATGCTCATATAAATGTAGAAACATATCTGAGTGTTTTGGGGATTATTTTGTACCAGGAATTGAACCCAGGGCCTTGCATTTGCCAAGCAAGCACTGTACCACTGAGCTACAACTCTGGCCCTTGAGTTTTTTGTTATACTTCATAATATAACTTATGGGATAAAGAGTCACTATTTTTAGCAGGGTCAGGACAAATACACACAGTTATCAGTTATGCAAAAAATCGATATTATTATAAAACATTACACAGATACATATTTGAGAGCAACATTACAATCGTACACTGTACACTCAATTCTCACTATTTGCAATACAGACGTCCCATAAAGTCACCACAAATGAATCAGCAATCCCCAAACTATTGCTCCTTGGGGAAATACAGCCTCTGGTCATAACAATTTTGTCAACTTTCCAAAACACAACCTTGTTTTACCTGTGTTTCTGTTTAGAAACATTTTTTAATATATACTGTTGTTGATTTGTTAGCATTTAACTCATGGACAACACCACTAGGGCTTGTATGAGAAATGAAACTTATCCAGCGCACATTTTCTCCATAAGGCATATAACAGCTTTCTTGCCCTTCGGAACACTAGACACTGTCAGCACTTCACTTTAGCGCCATTTTAAACAAGAACTGAAATAAGAAGTCAAATTTGCCTGTTTCAACCTCGTGTGGAAATTGTGCATGTCGGGCTGATCAAATTTTTCACCACTCTGCACATACCTATGAATGGCCATGAACGTGCAACAAGTATTGAATTGGGTGACAAATTAATTCTGTGAACAGGAAAGTTCACAAATAGAACCTGTGAACACTGAGGATTGACTACACACATGTGCAAGTATTTCTCATTCTTTCATTCAAAAGTATGTGCCAGATGGTGAGCACATGACAGAGGTTAACAGAGACACTGTTTTCCGCAAGGAGCTATATCGCAGAGGTAGACCCAGGCAGTTAATACCCATCCGCAACAGACTGGATGATTGTGAAAGAGAAGCACAGCATAGCAGAAGACCATGCGGCAGGGATAAAGAGAAGCTCCGTGGAGACAGGGCTTTTAACGGAGGTCTTGAGCATCAGTAACCACCTAAAGGAGGAAAAAAGTGATGCAGAGAAAACAGCGTGCGTCAAGTGCAGAGGGAAGAAACTAGAGCACCTGGGACCTAACAACAGAAAGTTGGTACGTGGAATATTAATAACATCTAATACTCAAATGAAAATTAAGAACAAAAACAATGTTTCAAAACTCACTGACTTAAAAAGTGGCGCCTATATAACCAAATCCTTTAAACTTGGTGTATTTAAAGACACTCTTTGAATGTTTCCTTCATCCCTTTAAGGGTTTTAAAAGACAACCACACTGCCATTTTATGTAAATATATATATATATATATAAAACTTATAATAAAAGATATATTGCTAAGACTGATAGGATTAGTATTTCAAAGCAAGCGGAAGTATTTTGAGGATTAACAGCAATGCGTCTCCTACTACAGTATATTTAACTTTCACCACGTTTTGATCACACAGAGAGCACATGCATCAGGACTTAAGTGCTGCAAAGGGCTTCATTTTGTTGAACTCACATTGCTACCAGGGTTGGAAATAGTTATAATGATAGGGGCTGGGGATTTAGCTCAGCGGCAAAAGCGCCTGCCTGGCAAGCACAAGGTCCTGAGTTCGGTTCCCGGTACCGGAGAAAAACCAAAAAAAAAAAAAAAAAAAGATAAAGTGCTGAAGAAGACACCAAGGTTTATGATGTTTTAATGCTCTAAATAGAAAACATGCTTAGCTTGTAGATATTTGGACTGTCTGAAATAAAGTTATATAACTAACTGCAAATGTAATTTGAGTATATACTAAGAAAACACATTTAACAACTAACTACTCAAACTGATTTTTCTAGAAAAAAGGAGAAAATGGTTGAAATAGGATAAGGTTTATCTATCTTTAACAATAGATCCCCTTGAAAAGCTAAAAGCTTCTCCAAGAGAAGAGACAGGAAGAGGATGCAGTCTAGTTCCTTCTGATATGCTATAAAGTTGCAAAGTTTACCAAGCAGTGTGTACCTAGCAGCAAAATCTCAGAAGGAACCCCTTTGACCTAGGGAAATGCTTCTGAAATATTGTGCCATCAGCACATTTGTTTATTCCCTGGAGTTTCCTTTCCAAAAATATAAATAAAAACTACTGCTAAAAGACTTTTTTCCTCTCTACCATGCAGTACACCAGTATTTCTCCACTCTTTTTTTGTCATTAATTCCCTAATGATCCTTTTTAGCCATTGCTTCACTCCCCTGAAACTTCTATAGCCTAGATGACAGTGCATCTCTGGTATGTACCATGACCCTTTGGAAGGCTACAGAATCTCATGATTTTATTTTTCACCTTCCACCCAAGAAGCAAGACTGACCGTTGGCAACCCACAAAAGAAGAACAGAAACTACAGTACCCTGAAAGGTAAACAAAAATGTTATAAACCTCTTATGATTATTTTCAGATACAAGAACGTTGTTGAAGTGGGAGACGATGTAAGGAAAGGAAAATAATTTATGTGCCTGATTCAAATTAACATAAAAATAATTATAGGAGTCACAGAATTCAATTTTTAGTAAGGAAAAACTACAGCACAGTCCTTATCATAGCAACAAACAATTTTCATCTCCATGAAGTTCTCATTCTTTTTTAACTAGACATCTCTGGAGAAAATACAATGACTAGTTTTTAAAAGAAAATGTAAACACAAAGTATAAAAGCATAAAAGGAATACAAAGTTCTGATCATTTACTTTGTATATGGTGTTGGTATTTGTCTTTAAGAAATTGTTTCTTTTTTATTTTAAAGAAAAAATATCAATAAAACAGTCTCAAACAGGCTAGTAGGAGAGTGATAATAATTATTATCTTCATACTAGTTATTCAGAGTAAAAGATATAGGTATAAAATATTGTCCAAACAATATTAGCACAAATCTTTCTTTACAATTAACTAAGAGAAACTAGCTGTATAACTATCTTAACTATCTTCTGTATATATATATTGTTTCTTTTTCCCTTCCTTCCTTTCTCTTTTACCCCATCACAGTTTCTTTTTCCTTTTGAACAGTTTCTCCCCTATTCCCAATAGCTACTGCATGTTTTGGATCTTATTTACTCATTCAGTTTCTCATGCTAATGAGACAATACCATGTTTACACATGTGGGTCTGATGTATTTCACTTATAAGTATGGTCTCAAGTTTACCTATAAAAGTCTCAAGTTTATCTTTCTTTATAGTTGAGTAGTACTCCATTGTATAAAAAAAAAATCTTTTTTACCCATTCCTCAGTTGATAGGCATTTGGGTGTTTCCAAGATTTAGGTATGACAAATTGTGCTGCTATAAACATGGATGCACATATCACTGCGGTATGACATTTTCAATTCTTCTGGGAAGATACCCAAAAGGGGAATAGCTGGATTGAATAGGACCTCTAATCCTAGTTTTTTTCTGAGGAATCTCCACAGTAAGTTCCACAGTGGTTGCCCCAGTCTACACTCCCACCAACAGTGGAAAAGGGTTACTTTTCTGCCCACAGCCCCGCCAGCATTTCTTATTGGTAGATTTCTTGATTATAGCTATTCTTTCTGGAGTGAAATAGAATCTCGGTATTGTTTTAATTTGCATCTCTCAAATGACCAATGATGTTTAGCATTTTTTCATGTATTTATCTGCCGTATGTATTTCTTCCTCTGAGAAGTGTGTATTCATCTCAGATGCCCATTTATGTTCCACAGGTATAAAGTTTCAGTAAAAAAATGGTAGAGCTTGTAATGTGGTCTAGTCTGAACTAAAATGTTGTAAGTACTTAATGCTGAACCTCAAACTCCTAGAAAAGAAAGAACAAATCAAACCCAAAGCTTGTACAAGAAAGGAAATTATAAAGATCAGGACAGAAATTAATACAATTGAGACTAAGAAAACAATACAAAGAATCAATGAATCTAATAGTTGGTTCTTTGAAAGATTAAATAAAATAAAACCCCTACACAACCTTATTAAAAATAAGAATGAAAAGACCCAAATTCAAGCAATTAGGAATGAAAAAGATGAAATCACAATGAATCCTGCAGAAATCCAGACGATCACCAATACCTACCTTCAAGAACCTGTACTCTAATAAAATAAAAAACACAGAAGAAATGGACAAATTCCTCGACACATATAAATTCTCAAAACTGAATCAAGAAGATATAAGTATTCTAAGTAATTCAGTATCAGTCAATGAAACTGAAAATGTAATTAAAACCTACCAACAAAGAAAAGCCCAAGCTCTGACAGATTCACTGCTGAGTTCTACAAGAAATTTAAATAACTCTTGCTACTAACGATGAAACTCTTTAAGGAAAAAGAAAAAGAAGCAATATTTCCAAAATCATTTTTGGAAACAAATATTACTCTGAAACCAAAGTCAGAGAAAAAATACAACCAAAAAAGACAACTACAGGCCAATCTCCCTAATGAACATAGGTACAAAAATCCTCAATAAGATACTGGCTAACAAAATGCAGAAAATAATCAAGAAGATTTTATACTATGACCAAGTAGGATTCACTCCAGGGATGCAGGGATGGTTCAGCATACACAAATCAATAAATGTAACACAGCATACAAACAGGGCCAAAGACAAAAACCACATGATCCTTTCAACAGATGCAGAAAAAGTATCTGACAAAGTCCAACACACATTCAGGATAAAAACCCTATAAAAAATTGGAATAGATGCTGTTTATCTCAATCTGATAAAAGCCATCTATGACAAACCAACAGCTAACATCATACTAAGTGGTCAAAAACTGAAAACTTTTACTCTAAAATCAGGAACAAGACAAGGATGTCCACTATCACCACTCCTGTTTAATACAGTTCTGGAAACATTAGATAGAGCAATTAGACAAGACAGAGAAATAAAAGGAATAAGGATAGGAAAGGAAGAAGTTAAATCATCATTAATTGCAAAAGATATGATACTCTATATAGAACACCCCAAAAGCTCCACCAAAGACTTGTAGATTTAATAACCAAATTCAGTAGCATAGCTGGATACAAAGTCAACACTCAAAAAAAAATATATAGCATTCCTGTACACAATCAACAAACTCACACAGAGAGAAATTAGGGAAAATACACCCTTTATAATGCCAACCAAAAAAAAAATGAAATACCTAGGAATCAATCTAACAACAGAGGTAAAAGATCCACACATTGAAAATTACAGTACTCTGGAAAAGGAGATAGAAGAGGATATCAGAAAATGGAAAGATATTCCTTGCTCATGGATATGAAGAACCAACATAGTGAAAATAGTCATACTCCCAAAACTGTTACACAGATTCAATGCAAGCCAATCAAAATACCATTAGCGTACTTCACAGAACTAAAGAAAACATTCCTAAAATTCATTTGGAACCAGCAGAGACCTAGAATAGCAAAAGCAATTCTGGGTAACAAAGGCAAGGCAAAGGGCATCATAATCCCTGACCTGAAATAGACAAAATAAATAAATAAATAAACATCATATATGCGCACCCATGTTTATAGCAGCACAATTTGTAATAGCTAAATCTTGGAAACAACCCAAATGCCATCAACTGAGGAATGGATAAAAAAAAAATGTTTTTTTAAATACACTGGAGTACTACTAGGCTATAAAGATAAACTTGAGACTTTCATAGGTAAATGGATGCAATTTGAGCCCATACTCATATGTGAAATAAATCAGACTCACATATGTAAACATCATATTGTTAGGATCCCTGATGTGGAAAACGGAACAAGTAAATAAAACCTAAAATGTACAGTAGGGCTGGGGATTTAGCTCAGCAGCACAGTGCCTGCCTGGCAAGCGCAAGGTTGATTCTTGGTACCGGAAGAAAAACAAAAAAAAACACAATAAAATGTACAATAGATATTGTGAAATGGGAAGAAATTGTTCAAAAGAAAAAAGAAACTAGGATGGGAGAAAGGGGAAAGAAGGAAAAGGAAAAAGCTACAAAATAGTTATACTTCTAGTTTCTCTTTGTTCATTGAAAAGAAAGGTTTGTGCTGGGCCAGGGATGTAGCTCAGCGGCAAAAGCGCCTGCCTGGCACGCACAAGGTCCTAAGTTCAACTCCTGGTACCAAAAAAAAAAAAAAAAAAGAAAGAAAAGTTTGTGCTAAAACATTTTGGAGACGTTTTTATGCCCATAGCTTGTACTCTGAGTAACTATTTTAAAGATAACAATATGCGATATATTGACTATTGTTATTGTCCTATTATATTGTTATGAAATTGTTTTACATTTTTCCATAAAATAAAAAATATTATAAGTATAAAATATCTCATTAATCACTTTTATATAGATTACAGGTTGAAATGATACTTTCTTAAATATTCTTGGCTGAGTAAATAGATTATTAAACTCTACCTGTCTCTTTTCACTTTTTAAATAATGGTTACAAGCCAATTTTAATTATAAATGCAGTTTGCATTTTATTTCTCTTGGGCAGTTCTGCTCTAGCTGCACACAAGTGAGCATGGCTGGAACTAATGCTTAAAACTGAACATCACCTCTTCTAGGTGCCCCTAATACCTAAGTTTGGGCTGCATCTGGGCCCTATGTATCTCCACTGCTCCTTATGTTTGCTTCTTTGATAGCATTATTTCATTATATTATCGTAATTTGTGGTTCCAGCAGGTTTGAAAATTCCTTCAGTAAACAGACTGAATTTTTTTTTAATCTCTGTACACTAAGAGATCCTCTTTCTGACCAGACTACAGTAGTAGTTAGGCTTCTCTGAAGCCTCTTCTCAAACAGGCCTCAATCTTGGCCTCTTCTCAGTACGCCTCAGCTGTGGCCCATAAAAACTCCAGATTGGGACACAGCTGAGTTCCTCCTCATCTGGATATGTAACACATTCTCATCGGCGTCAACCACCAGTGGTGCATGAATGACTGTCCCCTCCAGTGGCCCACGTCACAGGTAGTACAAACAGATCTAATCACTTTGATCAGTCTTTCTACTAATAAATTAAGAAAAGGTCTATAAATGGACCAAATCTACATAGTTGCTTAAATTTGAATAATTACTTCCTAAATATAAATGTTAATACTATTCATATCAATTAAAAATTGTTACAATAGGGTCAGGGACGTAGCTCAGTGGCACAGACCCTGCCTGGCAAGCGGAGCCTTAAGTTTGATTCCTGGTACCAAAAATATATATACTTATATATATATTATAATAATGAACAAATTTATTTCATTACACTAAAAGAAATTTATACTCATAGTTTATCAATAATTAATTCTCTAAATTTTAACATGGAAATCTTACAGGTATCCAATTGTTGGTGTACAACTGCTTTACCACAAATTAGCTGTATTACAATTTTTTATACTACTTTAATGTTTTCCTTAAAGAACTGTAATAAATTTCTTGAGAAACTACTAAATCAATGCCTTTCTTTGCATCACTATAATCAAAGGTCCCTGAGAAGCAATTCGAACCACCCAGCAGGACAGCCATGCATGTACCACGCCAGGGGTTCAAAATTCAAGTAAGAGCCCCAGCAGTAAGACGTCTGAATTCCACCTCTTCGTGAATACATTAGACAAACACTAACTTAACTGTAACGTCTTACTCTAACGCCAGAACTCTAACAAGTGCTTCCCTAGGACCACCCCACCTGCCCTTAAAGTCTTGCCCGCAATAACCCAAGGCAGCCAAACAAATTCACTGTTTGTTCTAACAAACCTGAGACAACGGACCCTTGACTACTTCCTAGGGTATTTACTAAAAAGGGTTTACAAACCCGGCACACTTGTGAAGCACTATGGGAGGTGGTGCCAGGAGGACCACAGGTTCAAGCCCACCCTGGGCAATTTAAGTGACTTGGATAGACCTCAAAATAATAATAAAAAGGGGGGTGGGGGATGCAGCTCAGTATGGGTTCCGTCCTCAATACCCCACCGTACACACACTCATACACACACAAAAAAGAACAATTATGAATCCTTCCTCTGTTCCTCTGAGACACACACATACACTCTTAACCAGGAGTGTGGGTTTCTCAAGGATCTGAGAGCCATCCTTTGTGAAGCCATCATCAGGAGATAAGGTGCTCTCTCCCAGTCTCTATGGGAAGACAAAGTCCTAACTTGGTAACTGGCAACAGACAGCACTAGCCTAATCAGTGTTTACTGTACACTGACAAGCCCTTGGTAACTTTTCAGTTCCCTTACTTTCTTGAACCCTTGCTGCCCCATTTTCCTTTTTTGTTTTTTTTTTAACTTTAAAAAGAAAAAGAAAATAGAATTTCAAAACAAATAATGGGAGAGTCATAATAACACATATGCGTATTGTTATCTTCAGAGTACTCTCCTTCTAAAATGTCCAGTCACCTCTGTATCAACTGAAGTTGAGCTCAATTCACACTGAACCTTCCTCCCTGCTGCATCACTATATTACTGATTAAAATTTATCCTTACTACTTTAGCAGCCAGCTTTATCTTTGACAATTACTAGGATAAGGCGCAGGCACGAAGTGCAGGATTACTTTCCAATAAATCCATTATAAGTTGAAAATATTTTAAGTCAAAAATCCACTTAATACACCTAATCTACTGACCATCATAGCTTAGCAACACAGTACACTACAGGTTATTAGTGGTTTGCCCTCATGACTGGCTGATTAGAAGCTATGGCATATTGCTGCTGCCCTTGCGCATGAGACAGTATCATACCACATTATCACCAGCCCAAAATAAGATCAAAACTCAAAATCTGAAGTAGAGATTAACACAGCATTGTAAAGTTTAAAAAATTCCTAAGTCAAACCGTTTTAAATCAGAGAAGTCTATATTCAATAAATATTAAATAAAAGAAAATAAACCAATGTGATACTAGTAAGTTGGTGGGAAAAGTCACACTAAATCAAGACTACAAATGATCAGGGTACTAGGCAATCATACATTACATCTTTCCTCAATGAGGTTTTCAGAAAAAGTCCAAGAGCATAACAATGACACATTTTTAAAGTTCTAATTTGCTACAGAAAAAAAAAGTATGAAAGTTTAGACTGTTTCTCACCTGAAGTCAAATTCCTAGCTGTACTTTGTGATTTCTGCATTTCAGTAGATTTAAAATTGAGGTCATCTTGCATCATTTTTAGTTCTTGATTAGTAATAGAAGATATCTGTTTCATACGATTTATATTCTGCATTTTGGGGGAAAGAATAGAAAAAAAATTCCACTGAATTAACTCTCCATAAAACCATTGTTAGGGTGACATGAAAACACTGTTAGGGTGACATGTTTTGATTAGCTACTAGTTTTTGAATATGTGATTCAACTTTGGTGTTTTATAGAATAACAGTAAGATTCAAAGTCAGGTTTTCTCAATAGACTAAATTCTTATATTTTTTCTCATTCACTCTATTTCACTTAGAAAAAACTGACTTCATTATTTTAGGAACCGGTTATAATCTCTTTTTTGTTTTATTTTCCAAATGAGTATTACCAATAATAAAATGCATGCATTTAGACTGTAGTTTGGGCTTTTACAAATGCATACACCTGTGAGACAGCTCTGTGGCACTACAGGGACCCACCACCTGACGGGGTCCCTATGCTTCTTTGTGATCATCCCTTGCTTACCAGCCCAAAAACTACCTCACCTCTCTGCTGTGTCTGCTATAGAGGTTCATGTAATTGAATCACTGTATATGGAATTTTGAGCCTGGATTATCTGTTCAACTAACATTTTTGAGATTCATCCATAATATTTCATAAATCAATCACTGCTTCCTCTTTTTCCTCAGCAGTATTCCATTATATGGATTTATGACAAATTGTTCATTTATTTCTCAGTTAATAACCTTTTTTTTTTTTTTTTGTACTAGGAATAGCACTCAGGACCTTGCACTTGCCAGGTAGGCATTATGCCGCGAGCTATATGCCCAGCCCTGTTAACAGCCATTTGACATTACTTCTAGTTTTAGGCTATTTCCCAACAAGGTTGGTATACACAGCCATGTACATCTTTTGTGGACATATATTTTCCTTTGTCTTTGATAACTGGTTGGAATCTGTTGCTGGATCTTATAATAGGTCCATGTTTAATTTATAAGAAATAGCTAGTTTCCCAAAGCAGTATACCACGTCAGTTTCGGTTGCTCCATAGATATCATCAGTCTTTTGCGGGGTCAGGGCTGTGGGTGATAGAGGTTAAACCTGTGGCCTTATGCAACTGGCAAATACTTGACCACTGAGCTACAACCCAAATTTAATGGTTGCACCGGTAAAGAAGCATGCTCAGGGTATCAGAGAAGGAAAAAAGTAGAATTTGAAAAGTTAATCCATAGAAGATGAGAAAGTAGAAAGAGAGGTGAGCTAACGGCTGCATCCCAAGAAGGCAAGGATGGGCTGGGGATGTAGCTCAGTGGCAGAGCACATGCCCAAGAAGGCAAGGATAGTTCAACATACACAAATCAATAAACATGCGTATTTACCTATACTAAGTCTTGGTTACATAACTGTATCCTACTGTGTGCTTGTGCTACACAAGCCAGGTCATATCCTCAGATGTCCTTAGATTAGATGCCCCTGATCTTTGATGTACTGTGAGTGCTTCCCCACAAAAAACAGATGTATAAGAAAGGAAGAAGTCAAACTGCTATTTGCAGACAACATGATCCTCTACATGAAGACTCAAAAAAATTCCACCAAAGACTCCCAGAATGATCAAATTCAAAAATGTAGCAGGATACAAAGCCATGCACAAAAATGATCATGTGATCATCTCAACAGATGCAAAAAAAGCCTTTAACAAAATCCAAAATCCACTGATGGCAAATAGGTATAGAAGGAATTATCTCAATCTGATAAAAGCCACATATGGAAAAACCTACTGCCAAGATTTAAAATTGTTTCATATTACTGTTTCATATTCAAAGGGGAAAACTGAAACTTTACTCTCTAAAATCAGGAACACGACAAGGTTGTCTACCATCACCACTCCAATTCAACATATTACTTGAAACATTAGCAAGAACAACCAGGCAAACAAAAGAAAAAAAAGTGTTGAGTTGATCAGGGGGCCCAAGGGATATTTTCACAAGTGAGGGCCAGGGTAAAGAACACACATGTAAAACATCAGCAACAACAGCAGGCAGCATGAAGCAGAGCAGAAGGCAAGAGCACAAGAGCTACCTTCGTCTTTGTAATTCCTATACAGGTTGTTAACTCATATTTACATTCCCACACAGTGCTATAATAAGCACATGTGTGTTTACCTGTGCTAAGTCCTGGTTACATAACTGTATCCCACTCTGTGCTTGTGCTATACAAGCCGAGTCATACCCTTAGGTGTCCTTAGATTGGATGTCCCTAATCTTTGATGCAGTCTGAGTGGTTCCCCACAAAAAAGAGATGCATAAGAAAGGAAGAAGTCAAATTATTATTTGCAGACAACATGATCCTCTACATAAGGACTCAAAAAAAATTCCACCAAAAGACTCCTAGAATAACCAAATTCAATAATGTAGCAGGGTACAAAACCAATGCACAAAAATTAGTAACGTTCCTCTACATCTGAGAAATTAGAAAACAATATAACAGTATTTAAAAAATTAAATAGAAAAATTAGTCTAGGAAGTGAAAGAACTCTAGAATGAAAACTATAGCACTCTACTCTGAATTGAAGAGGGCTGCAGAAAATGGAAAGATATTTCCGTTTCTAAATAGGCAGAACCAGTATTTTCAAAATGGCTATATTTTTAAAACTGATATACAGCTTTAACACAATCCCAATCAAAATACCAATAGCAACTGTCACAGAACTAGAGAAAACAATGTAAAATTCACATGCAACCAGAAGAGATTCAGAATAGCAAAAGTAATCCTGGGGGATAGTAGCAAAGTGGAAGGCACCCACAATCCTAGATTTATAATACAAAGCCACAGTGATAAAAACAGCATGGTATTGGCACAAAAGCAGATACTGTTTGTGGATAAAGGGACCATAATAGAGGATGCAGAAACAACCGTAGGTACATTGAGTTATCTGATATTTGACAAAAAGCAAAATATATGCCTATGGAAAGACAGCGTCTCTAATAAACCTGGCTATCCAAATGCAGAAGACTGAATCCACACCCATGCATGTCACCATGTACTAAACTAAAATCAAAGTGGATTGAAGTTCTGAATGTTGAAACAGAAATAATATGCTGCAAGATAAAATGGGTAAAACTCTTGAAGACACAGGCATTCCTAAGGACTTTCTGAACAGAATCCTAATTTGCACAGGAAATAACATCAATAATAAACAAATGGAATTATATCAAATTAAAAAGCCTCTACACAGCAAAGAAAATGACCAACAGAGTGAAGAGTCAACCTAAAAAATGGAACAAAAGTTACTTCTTGACAGAAGGGTAATATCTAAAACTATACTAAAACCTAAAAAGAAAAATCCTGAAAAATGAAGAACTTATTCAAAAAAAAATGGGCAACTGAAGTAACTAGCCAGTACCCAAAAGGCCAACAAACACATGAAAAAATGTTCAATGACATCTCTGGTCATTAGAGTAATGCAAATTAAGTAACACTGACATTCCCTCTTACCCCCAAAAGAATGGCTATCATGAAGAAATCAAATAAAGACAAATGCCATCAAAATTATGGGGAAAAAATAACCCTTCTACATTGATGGTAGGAATGTAAACTAGAACTACTACTATGGAAGTTAGTATGGAGATTCCTCACAAACTGAAACCAGAAATTCCACTCAACCCAGCTATTGCCCTTCTAGGTACAGCATCTCAAGAGTTGAAAACATCATATTATGGTGATACACGCAGCATAATTCATAAGAGCAAAGCCTTGGAAGCAGCCTATATGTTCACTAACAGATGAGTGTTGAAAGAAAAAGTGTTTAACACAGTGGAGTACAACTCTGCTACACAGACGGGTAACTCTGAGTCATCTGTAGGAAAATGGATGCACCTTGAGACCACCGTGTTTAGGGAAACAAATGAGACATACAGGTTTGAATACTGCATGGATTATCTTACATGAGAAGTGCAACATATAAAGAGCAGGACAAAAGATAGATAATAGGAGGAGAGGGATAGGTGTTTTGCAAATAGGAAGGAGACCAAGTGGCAGAGGAAGGGGAGAGGTAGAGGATGGGGAGGGGATGGGAAAAAAACTGAGATGTGTCATGTACCTGTAGACACGCCCTCAAGAAATGTGATCATTACATACACACAGTACTAATAAAAATGAAAATTAAAAAGAAACTATTTTAAGTGTTTTATATATCCAATAGCATCGTTTGTATTAACTTTTTAAAAGAAACTGAATGGGTTCTGAGTAAAACGGGTTATCAGGAAAGAAAATTTAAAAATACTGCTTTGGGGTAGCAGATCAAAGGCCAAACCTCTCTGCTAAGTCATTGTGTTTTGGGAATAAAGTTAAGATACTTGTCCCTACTTGAGCTGTAACCTTTGAGGATATGGGTTCCAGAGTTAGGTTCAGGGCTAAAGCACCCTCTTCAGTGGATGGTGCTCGAGTTGCTATGGCTGTGAAGGGGATGGATGAGGGCAGAGAACAAGGCCAGGCACAGACTCATCTCTTAAGGAGAGACCTTAGTTCCCTGTGGATTACAGATCACATAGACGCCGGGCTCCACAGGAGACGGCACAGGTTTTCCATGAAGGTGACTCCCACTCTGATGGCAACCTGAGCCAGAGCTCTCCTTTAAGAAGGGGGACTGGGCTTGGAGCCGTGCAGATCAGTGTTCAAGTCTCCATTTATCCATCAGTAAAATGAGCTCACCTTTACCTTCTGAGGTAGTTACAAAGGCTAAATAAATGTGTACAGGGCACTTTCCTAGCGTGTAGAAGGCCATGGGTTCAGTTCTGAACATATACACACACACACACACACACACACGCGCGCGCGCGCACACACACACACACACGCACACATGAGGAGGACAAGGAGGAGGAGAAGAGGAGGACAAGCAAGAGGAGGAGGAAGAAGAAGATGACAACGATGACCCCCTCCAAAGAAAAATAACTCAGCATATAAAATGCTGACACTGGGCATGGTGGCTCATGCCTATAATCCCAGCACTCTGGGAGGCTTCTGAGGCAGGAAGATCACAGGTTGAAGCCCAATCTGGACAATTTATCAGTGTAGTGTCTTAGCAAGACCCTGTCTCAAAGTGAAAACTAAAAAAGGGCTAAGGAAAGTAGCTCAGTGTGTAGATCATGAATTTAATTCCTAGTGCCCCACCCCGAAAGTGCTGAAATGCTGTCAATATATGAAGGAGTCCAAAAAACCTGGTGTTCTGATAGCAGCTCAACTTAAAGAATGTCTGGTGAGATCTTTTCCTTTCTCTCTATACCTTTATCCCAGCTGTTATCCAATTAAAACACACCGAATCACTCCTGTGCCTCACAACTTACGAGCGCTGTCGCTTTCTACCACTGTGACAACCATGGAGGTAGGCCTTAGCATGACCATCCTCACTCTTTTTAACTTTTAAAATATCTACTATGACATATTTGCAGTACATAATGATTACCACACTCATTGTGGTACATGTACATTATACTTGGTACATATACGTTATGTACACATACTACACTTGCCAATTCTTTTTACTTCCCCCGTTCTCTCCTTCCTCCAACTCTTGGTCCCCTTGTAGTCTTAAAACACTAAAAATATTTTAAAAGTATCATGTAGTTTTACTCCTATAGTACCACACATATAGTAGATGCTCAATAAACATTACTGATAAGTCAAGATACTCATTGGGTACACATAGAAGAAAAAGTACAACGTAAAAATATTTTAAACATCTTCCAACACGTCTAGATTTTGTAATTTTCTAAGTGAATATTCTGTAAGTTCAGCTAAAGTAACAATGGAAAAAAAGTAATTACTCTAAGTGCCGTGGTGCTGAATATTGATATTGTACATATGTCATTCTTTTCCCCATTGCCCTAACAGCTAAGATTGTGCTTGAGACAGTAATTAATAGTACAAAGGAATAAAACAGCAAAAATGGGAATGTAAAGAAAACAGTTTAAATGGGAGATATAATAATAAGCCTTCCACTTTTTCAGTATTTGTATGTGGAAAGTTAATCACAGTAAAAATGAGGACGCCACGATAGGCATATTGTACTTACCCTACTACAAAGCTCCAAAAGGGCAACAATGCTGGCTTCTAACTGTGCCTTCCGTTCCAGTTCCTGATTCTTAGTTTCCTCGAAGGTGTCTATGAAAGCTACCAATTGAAAAACACCATAAAAGAGGCTACTGTAGATATAGCTGACATGGTACAGCACAATCTCTGCTTTTTAGATCTTCAGAATACCTTTTAGAAATTTAAAGCAAATGTAAATTTAAACTACCACTATTTAATATTTCATTAACCCAGGGGTGATTACTCAATAGTATTTTTACATACTTTCGAACTTTTAAAGCCTATTATGACTCTGATATGGGTAAACTAAAAGTTAAAAATATAGGCTTCAGAAACAGCTGATAAAAATGGAGATCAAAAATACATATTTACTTTTAATGCTCGGTTAATCTCAAAGTAAATTTAATAATTTATTTGGGTTATAAGTAAATATTCTACGAAATGATTGTTTTATTTGTCTAAAATAGAACAGGCACACGATATTGGTTACATACATTCTTCAAGTACTACTATGGAACTTCCAAAGACTGAATAACTAAAAATTTTACTGTTAACATTAATTAAACATCAATTCATTGCCTTCTATCATGTATTTACATTATACTTTTTTTACTTTAAATATATTTTTAATTGAAATAGTCATCAGGAAAAATATTTATTGAATATGGTATTGGTGGACCACCATCAAAACATTTTAAACTAAACATTCTTCAATGTCTTGCTTCAGCACTTAACTACAGGTCTTAGATATGAATATGCTCTTTTACAGGTAGCATTAGTGATTTCAAACACTGTGGAACTGTCACATATCATTCCCTGATCTTACATCTACTCTTAACAAAGAACACTTCTTTAAAAAGAGAAAACAATGAATTAACTTTGAGATAACTTTTGATACTTGCTGAAACTGTATAGAAATCTTGAGTTTATCACAAAATTAAACTTAACCATTACAATTTTATAGCACTCAAAGTAATAATTAACATTAGGCCTATAAAACTTCAGATTTTAGCAAAATGGTAATTCAGAAAGAAGCCAGTAATAAATACATTGTTTGTTTAAAAATTGTACAATACTAGCTTAATGTTTATTCTTAAAGTTGAGATTTACAAAAAGCAAAAACTAACAGAAGGCCGATAAAGCTACAGTTGATGACCTATTTTTTTTTTTTTTTTGGTTTTTCGGCTTATTCTCCGGTACCAGGAACCGAACTCACAACCTTGCGCTTGCCAGGCAGGCGCTTTGGCCGCTGAGCTAAATCCCCAGTCCCGCTACAGTTGATGAAAAAGGCAAGTAACAAGAACAGAGGGAAGGGCTCAAATAATGAGGTGAGTATCATGAAGAGCTAAAAGCTGCATGATGTTAAAAGTAAACATAACAAAACATACATAAAAGAACATTCAGCATTCAATCAGTAAGTGGTTACAAACTACCTCTGCACACAATAGGAATGGAAGTACTAGCTTTAGAATCTGTCCCTAAAGTAGAAATACATATGTACATACACTTTCTTGGAATACTCTACCCATCCCTGAATTTTGCTAGAAATTCAGATATTCTTCAGGACAAAACGCCCTGAATGTCCACAGTTTTGTATTTATTAGCCATGTATCTCCATAAAATGAGACCTCTGTGATTTTTCATAAATGAACAGCAATGTGAGAATAGATTCCTGTATTTGTAAATCATCACTTACTATCCATATTTTCTTCTCTTTTTTTTAGTTCTTTGTATTTCTGATTCATTTCACCTGTAAGAAATACAAAATATAACATTAATTTCAAAAATTTCAGGGGTTGGGGATTTAGCTCAGCAGCACAGCACCTGCCTGGCAAGCGCGAGGTTGTGAGTTCAGTTCCCGGTTCCAAAAAAAAAATTCCAGTTATAATATTCTAAGTTAGAAATACATCTTAGGTTGTCTTTATGCCATTAGTGACTGAATATTTGATATCCTCAATTAGGTAAAATTCTTTTGTATTGATTTACACAACTGTGTGTGTGTGTAAATGGAGAGTGAATAAAGGCCTTCTCACTAAGCTCCATTCCCAGCCCTTTTCTATTTTTTCTTTGGAGAGAGGATCTAGCTAAGTTCAGCAAGGCTTCAACCTGTGATCTTTCTCCTCAGTCTCCAAGAATTCTGGGATTGCAGGTGCATGCCACTAAAAGTGGCTGTATATTTGTGTATTATTAACTTGAAAAAATAATCTCATGACTGGAAAAAATGTACAAGGGTATTTGACCTACACAAACACTGCCAGTAACAAGATACCTATATTCAGAGAAAGTTCATTCGATCTACAAAGATTCACAAGGAAAAGTGAGGTAGCAAGATTACTTCCTTTACAGTGCTTATAGCCTAGGAATTAATAAATAATTTAAATTAAACATACCAATGAATAATTAAAATACACCGCAAAGCACAGAATACTATCAGTGCACCAGCAAAGACAACTAATCTAGTCTGCAGACTGGGAAATTTTCCCTAAGAAAGTAAAATTTATGCTGTACTTTAATGAAAGAATAGAGGTTACCCGGTGAAAATATAGACAAAGCAAATACGAAAGAATTACAAGTATAGAAGTGTGGAAGTGAGGCTGAACACAGTAGCACAGTACAACTGAAGGAGGAGTAGGACGAAGCAGAGAGGAGGAAGTGAAAAGTGACACAAAGGTAAAGCGGACTGTGAAGCAGCTGACAAGATTCTTCTCAAAGAATCTGGACTTTCTCCTAAGGACACTGAAGAATCTTAAGCAGGAGAATAAAATGGTAAATTTACGCTTTACAAACTATTTCAGGTTTGGAGAATAAAAGAAAAGGACAGAGCAGTAAGACCAGTTAGAAAGCTGTCATGTAATCTGGGTGGAGCCAGGTGAAAGGTACCTGGAGTAGATGGGTGGTGATTAGGAGAGAAGCTAGGGGATGTTTCCTGGAGATGCTCACAGGCCACAGTGAACGGGTTTGGGTGATAAGGTTTCTCCGTAACAAACGCTGAGCTTTGGAGGCGCAGGTTTATTTTCCTGAGCAGTGAGAGGGCTGCAATCCTGAGTACCGAGAGCCCCAGGAAGAGAAAGTACAACAAACCTGTGCTTGCTTCGCTGTACTATTTCTTTATTCTAGTCAGCGCTTACCTTCTTGGAGAAACTGAGGAAGAAACCCACAAGCATGGAAGGAACAACAGCCTAGTTATTCCAAAGGAGGAGCTAGGTTAGGAGCTGACCTCCAGTACTATAGGAGTAAGAGTTCAACACCAGACATGGTGCATACTCAGAAGGCTGAGGTAGGAGGATCGTGAGCTGGAGGCCAGCCTACATAGCTAGACTTTGTCTCAAAAAACAGAAACAACACACACACACACACACACACCCCAAGCATTCAAAGAAAATGGGGGCACCAACAGAGGAGGCCAGAGGCTAACATGCCAATATTCAGTCAGTGTTCTGTATATAATCCTATGAGGTGCAATTTCCAAGATCTGGCTATAGCATGAACAATAGGCAACAGGAACACCATAAATAACAGGAAACAAGAGACAGGACAGCATCCCTAACTACCGAGGAAGCATGGAAGCACAGACCACCACTTGTGCATACACTGGGCTCTTAGTCACTTTCCTGGTCGTTGGGACAGAATGCGCAATATACCCACAGTAAAGGAGCAGTTTACTCTCTAGCTGGCTGGTTGCAACGCAGAAACAACCCAGGAGAGGGGCACAGCAGATGGAAGCCGCTTACGTCGCGGTGGTCGGAGGTAGAGGGAAGGGAGTGAGATACACCTTTGCAGCTCATACACCCAGTGACCCACTTCCTCCCACCAGGCCCACTTCCAACAGCGCACGTAACTCCGAACTCATCCGTGGACTAATCGACTGATGAGTAAGCGTCCCCATGACTTCGTCACCTTCTAACAGCTTCACCCTGAGCACTTGAGACATCTGCGGGACATTCTAGATCTAAACCACAACTGCCTGGGTGGTAAGTGAATTCCAAGCATAGCAAGGTGCTGGAAAAGTCAGAGCCCTGAAGCAGGTCTTTTTTTTTTTTTTTTTTAATGGAAAACAAAGAGAAAAAGACAGAGCTGGCAGCACACACTATCTGGTGAGTGTAAATGTCACGAGACACATGTGAAGCGTAGAAATCCTGCAGTGGCCCAGGTTAGTAAGAAAGCCATGGCGCCTTGCTCTGGCTGAGGCATTCCACCTTCAGAAGACTGGTCAGGCTTTAAGGGATTAGAAGAAAGGCCTGGACTCTAGGCTTTTTAAGATCTTAAGTATCATCTTATCTTCTGATAACCTTAAAAGAATCCCCTACACATTCTGTATCCAGTTTCTCATCTTGTTTTTAGTCCTCAAGGTATTATAATGAGGCTTTTCCTTTCAGTGAAACTGTTCTCATTAAGATTCTGACTGCTTAATTATCAAATCCAAAGGGTAATTTTTTTATTCTGCAAGATTTAGCATTATCGACACACACATCCTTTCAATGTTTTCTTTGTTTTTGCTTTCTTTATCAGTGGGCTAATTTTTTGGCTTTTCATACTAAGATCATTCTCTTCATGGATTCCTCTTCGTTTAAATTTTTAGTTTTTAAAAATTGATTTCTAATGCTATCTTATATCCAGAGGAATATCACTCTTTCTTGTGATTTAAAAACTCTCAAGTTTGACCTTTTCTCTTATTTTCAAATTTGTCCATCCAATTGCTCATGTACGTTCATTCAGATGCTCGTAGGATACTGTGAAACTCATCGGTCTTTACACCCTCAGTTCACACCCCGCTTTATTCCCTATTAATGTGAATGTCCTCAGCACCTATTTATCATCCGAGTCAGAAACCTGGGAGACTCCTTCCTGCCCCTGCAAACCCATCCTCCTGGCTGCCAACATACTGAGCTGGAAGGCATATCTGGTCAACGTCTCCAGCTGCACAGCTGGCCACCTGGATTAGATGGGACAGATCTCCCGCAAAGCTCAGCAGATTCCCAAACTTCAAAAAAAATTCCTCCCATTTCACTGTTAAGAAGGAGAATGGTCAGAGCAGTAGTGAACTGGTCTGTTTTGTGATTTCTCAGTGGAGGATTAATACCTTAGCTGCCCAGATGTCAGCAGTCTTACGGTAGGGTAAAGTATATATGTAACATGCTACCAATCCATTCTTACATATCACAGGAGAGGGCAAGATCACAGACAGAAGGAAGTAAATCAGAGTATCACACCAGAGATGCAACCAGGCAAACAGAAGGAGGATCACAAATAAGGAGACCAAAGAAGAAAGAAGGAACACGATGATAAAATGGGGATGATTTTGGAGATGTCCTCTAACTCTGAGCATCTGGTGATCACAGATCTACATTCATTTATTTATTCTGTACTTTTAACTGAGTATTCACTATGTACTAGATATTCTCATCGATGCTGGGGGTTAAAAAAAAAAAACAGAACAAAACAGTTCTCACCCCATCCTCAAGGGCCTTAAAATCTACCTAGCAGGTTTACAAAACTATGTAAAGCAACATGAATGTTGCAACTGAGTCACAGATGAAGTGCTATGGTAACCAGACGGGTAAAAAGTGACTAGAAGGCTTTCACACGGAAGTATCACTAGTAAGGTACTTTACCAGACAAGGTGGGAATTATGGGAATAACATGTGTTCCTAAAAAAATGCTTAAGATGTGTTATGTGCATGTACCAATACCCTGTGATGAGTTTATGTAATCACAATGTACCACAAACATGTACTGATAAAAATATAAAAAATTATTATAAAATGTACAATCTAATAAGACAACTACACAAAAATGAACCATACAAATTTGGGCCTTTCCCCCATCTCATGTAGGAAAGAAGACTGTCCTCACTGTAAGGAAGTTTATGTGACATTTTAAATTCTCTAGTATCAAATGTTTTCTTCATTCAAGGTTTACAGGCTAGCACTATGTTGGCTTTCACACTCTGAGAAGCAGTTTTGATCCTAGAGAATGTCTGACTGCCATTTTCCTTCTCTCTTGATCAGTACACAAAAAGGCATTGGGCCAGGGATATACCTCAGCAGCATAGTGCCTGCCTTGCAAGTGCAAGGTCCTGAGTGCGATTCCCAGCATAAAAAAATTAAAAAATAAAAAGGCATGTACTAGTGATTCCTTGGCCTCAAGTCACCAAGACTACTGCTTTGGAAGTGAAAAGGGCAACAGAAAATAAAATTAGAGAGATGAAGGCAAGAAAAAAACTGATAGGACTTTTGCATTCCGATCAGTTCCTTTCGAGCACATGGGGTCTCTGAAGCAAGCTAAGTCTCCCCGTCTACTGCTCCTCACGACACGCTTTCCTTCACTGTTACCATTCTTAGCATCCTACTCTGAGTTCCCATTATTCCTTGTCCTTTCTAAAGTATTACACCAAAAAACTTAGGGTTCCAACACTATCACCTACCAAAGTCTGTATAAACATATTTGTTAATCCAACCCAGGAGTTCAGCTGTTTTCAGGGTTATATCACATTAAAGCACACTGAGCTATTATCTTAACTCCTTCTAATCTTTTAGTATGCCAGGACACTTTTTCTTCCCTAACTCCTACTTTAATTTTATTTAGTTTAGGGATTCCACTAAATTACAATCTTTTGTATTTAGTCTATCCCATTCGTTTCACATACCATTGTAAATAAGATAAGCAAGCAATAAGTATTTCAAATACTGATGAATTCCTACGTTAAAATGACTACATATAAATTTAATGTTTTAAACTAACTTTAGGCAG